TAAACACCCGACAAGATGTAATGTAGGACTGATTGATTCAAATGAGTGGATGCATGCGTGCATTGAAAACACACACAGACGCAAACGCGCGCGCCCGATTTACAAGGGGTGCTGCTCAGGCTGCGCTTGCCTCCCCGCCCTCACACCGCCACACCCCGCTGGACCACACTGCCCCCCCTCCCCCCCAGCCTCTCGCCTGGAGCACTCTCCTCGACGCACCCCTACCCCCGCGCCTCTCCCGCCAGCACCCCGCAGTTCCTCCGCCCTGCCCGGTACAGCCTAGCTAGGTTGGCCAGCCTGAGACCCAGACCCAGATCCGCCCGGGAGGGATGGGAAGGGGTTGGGGGACGGGGATGAAGAGGGGGAGGAGAGGGGGGCTGAAGGGGCGTGGAAGAGGGCGGACGAGCGGAGTCTGCATGGGGTAGGACGCTCCGAGCGCAGTGAGGGCTGCTGTGAGGTTGGGATTCGTATGACACAACGACCATTCGGACGTAGCCAGTTACTCGCCTACCAGTCCATTTCTATGCCCACTTATTGTTAGTAGGTGGCAATAGCGAAGTCTAGTAGTCCTCCAAAGACAAACAAAAAGTCGCATGTGTCTGTAACGACGATCGCTCAAAAAATGAGTTGTTGACATGAAATTTTAAGGGGCACTATAAATCATCAAACCTCAGTTCTTGCAATCCAGAAGGTATGCCCGTGAGTCACCGTTAGGAACCTCGCCAAAGTATAGCCTGCTCTGCACTCTCTCTTAGCGCCTGAGCGGTAGGCAACATCTTGCCCGCAGCGCATGTGTGTATTGCGGGATGGCCTACCCTGAGTTTCGCAGGGGCCGAGCTCCTGTAATCTGCCGGACGAATCTTAGAAGATATAGACATACTTTGCGGGTGAACCCTATCGAACACCAGAATAAATGAATAATGAATTGCACCCCCTAAATATTGCCTCGATGCGGGATTATCCAAAATCAAGTCATTTTTTCCCCTCGGTGGTTGTGGGCATTTTTATTTAACTCTGTATCGGGTACCATCATATTCTTGAAACATCTTATTGCATATTGTGTGTCCCGTTCATGTGGAATATTTGTTTGCAATGCGTAATATCGGGTGTCCAAGTCTAAGACATGACAGTACGTTGACTGCAGTGGCTGCAGGGACTGCAGGAGCTGCAAGGGTTGCATTCCCCCGCCAAACGCCTGGCGCCTGCAGCCCCTGCAGTCAGTGCATATTAGGATATACCCAACGTACTGTCATGTCTTAGCCTGAACACCTGAACACCGGGTAGTTTTTCCATGCGAATGTGTTCAGTTTGTATTTACACACATGCCTGTTAATTTGAGAGCAGGAGGACACCATATTTAATAAACACAACCATTGACATCTTTGCCAACAATTTATTTTCTTCTCTTTCGCACAAAGAAAGTAAAGAACTAGAGCAGCTAGCTTTAAAATGTCACAATTGTAATGTACAATATGATTAATGATGTATATGTACATTTTGAGCTGCGCGCAATAGCAACTTGAACAACTAGGTACATGGATCACAGTCATCTTTCTTAATTAATGACGCTCTACGAATATCACATTTTCACACTCACGCAGGCAAATTTTCACTCACACATTTACACAATTCACATAATCGAGAAATTAGGTCTAAATGCTACTCTGCGTTTCATCCCCCGACGGAAACAATATTTTTCTCTTTAATTTAAACTAATTTATTGTAAACATTCCCGATTAAATTTATGTCTTTATCAAGAAACGGTCAGAGACAGATATAAAAATACACAACCCAAATGTGATGTTACACTCAAATCAAATAGTAATTGTACTAATAAAGTATCGATTAATGGTCCCTATATATTGAGTCATATCAGTTCTAGATGCACTGGTAAAAGAAATGCGTTTTCGCAGCGGTTGTATTACCGGAATTGTAAGAACGTTTTCCAGAAACGATACGTTTCTTACAGCTACAATAAACACATAATGTCAGTCATGTTGGCTAAAGTACTTCTCAAAAAGGTAAGGACACGAACTTAAAACGTATATTTAATGAAAAAACATATAAAACACTACGCCCAATGTGTTTAAGGACAATCAAGAATGGTTCTGATAAAACAACACATTTAAAAATGCCAAGCACCATCCCGCAAAAAAATGGCCCGAAATCGTAACTGCGTTGATTTGAAGTGCTACTTTTAATACATTCTTCTCACTGTCATCAAATAACGATATAGTGAACCCCCAACTGATTAATAATTTAGATTAGGTTTTAGATAAAGGTAAAAATAGCTGTAGAAAACGGCATCATTTTAACAAATTCTTACAATGATCGAAACTATGCATAGTCCAGCCGCAAAAAATAAAATGGTACGAGGAAGAATAGGGCACTGCTTCACTCTTGATATGTCTGAGATCTCGGTCGCCATTGCGACAACGAGTCAAACTTTCCGAGAAAGGATGACAACCTGTTCAAGTCTTGAGCCAACGCGTGAACGTCATGGGCGCACTTTTCCTGGTCGCACATCGCCCAAGCGCGCCTTAACCGACGGAGCTCCTGCTCGACCGACCAGCGTTCGAGGCAACATCTTTTGGAACACGGATTGCTCGTTCTGTCCACGACTTCCAGCTACACGAGCAGGTGCAAAACCAGACTGAAGGCGAGGACGCAGAGGGCGGACGAGAAGGTGGTGGCCGCCGTTGAAGGTGTGGGCTGCTCCTCGTCGTGCGGACTCCTGTCCTCACCAGAGGGGCCAGCTAAAAGCAACACGTCATGTTGTCTTCCTCTAGCAACTCGACTCTTTCCGCACTCCCCTCCCCCAACTCTCTCTCTCTCTCTCTCTCTCTCTCGTACCAATCAGATGTGTACCGGGCGCGCTCATCTTTCTCACCACCGTCCTCTCTCATGCAATCCCACATAATACGTTAACACGACTCACTTGCTTACAAAGACCCTCCCCAACCCGCACTGGTTTAGATAACAGACGTCTACACAATACATTAATTTGACTCCATTCACGACATATAGAAAAAATAGAGAACAAAAAACAACAAATATAAAACCTAACAACAAAGTCGACCGAGTCGGTTGGACTGCGGCTTGCCGACATTATAAGTATATCAGAAAACACCGGAAATCGAAAAAGCACAACCCGATAGAAAATACGAAAGGAGTCCGTGCGCCCCTCACAGAAACTGACTCCACCCTCTAGATCATAGTCTACAGCCGACAACGAACAGTACAACACATGTCCTACCCACACGCATTTCGTTTCTCAGTCATGGTCAGCCACACATGCACACACGAAAACAATTGACCCCATCCTCACCAGCAGCACACCACGCTCTCACACACACTCACGCATTCACACACTCACGTCGTCCACATTCAAACGGTAGCTCAGGACAGAGTGGACAACACAACACGGCTCGACGCGGCTGGGGCGCGGCGCGGCGGGGCTGAGTATGGTGGGGGAACCCCATCCGATGCTGTTATCGGCCTGGAAATAATCAGGTGGACAGGGTTGGCGTTAAACACCCGACAAGATGTAATGTAGGACTGATTGATTCAAATGAGTGGATGCATGCGTGCATTGAAAACACACACAGACGCAAACGCGCGCGCCAGGCTCTCGGGGAAGTAAAGTATTTTTGTTTACGATACCTCAGCCGACAGCGCATGCATCAAATGTGTGTGGTTTATGATGAAACTAGCCCCAAAAACAATCTACACACCGTAGAGCCAGTGCATATAACATATAAACAAACAAGCCAAAGTGCACGTACTGAAGGGTTCACCACTATCCCGCAAACACGGATGCAAACAAACCAAATACTACGCAAATCTACACACAAATAAAACGGGTGCGCACACAAACGTTTTCACGCACACGCACAAGCACACACACACACACACACACACACACGCACACGCACACGCACACGCACACGCACACGCACACACACCTCACACTGCACGCACCCAATTCCATTACCCCTTCAAACATCGCATGCAATATGGTGAAAAGGAGAAAGTTGGTGTACTATTATTCCCTTTTTTTACCTCAGCCCTTGCCATTTCTTCCCGTTTCAGGGAAGAACGGGCTGGAGCTACTAATTGAGGGTGTGAGAGAGAGAAGGGGGTGGGGAGTGCAAGAAGAGGAAGAGTAATGCCACAAAAAACCACACTATACTGGAAAAAATACACATTCGTTGAGTGAGGTAAAAACCAGATTAAAAGTATAAAAATGCTAAAAACTCAATGAAAAAATGGAACAAAAATGTCGTTATCGCTAGATTTAGTTGCACAATATAAAAATTTCATACGATTATTGGGTTAGCACTATGATTATTTGGATTTCGGAGTTAGATGTTTTAGTACAATTAATTTGTTATATTAGGTTGGCAAAAAATGAAACCCGGGTAGCACACGCACTATGTTGAAATACCGTGAGAATGATTGCCAAATAATTTGCGAAATACAGAGGAAAATCCAGGCATGAAGGTACGGAATAGAACTCCGTCTGGAACAGAAGAGACGGAAGCTTCGACGTGTCGGTGCATCACGATGCTAACTACTAGATGTTTGAACATGAGTGCAAAAGAAAAGCATAGACAGAAAAAACTATTTACTACGTGAAGTGCAAAACTGTGCAATTGTTTAAAATGTGACGTGCAAGTGAAAGTGAGTGCATCTTGAACATCTTTCATGAGCATGTTAAATTAATATTCTAAGCCGTAGGTGAGGAGTGTTAGGGGAAGACATCTTCTGTTAGATTTTAGAGTGCTCTTTACCAATGAGAAATGGTAATATCGAAACGATAGCAGAAAACTATCGAGTTTTATGTTGATCATATGAAGTAGTCGACACACTTCATTTCATACCATTAATATCATTTCGATATCGATTCGATACCCCGTCGTTTTCAATTTCTCCCTTGGTAGGACTCTTATCTTTTTTCAGAATACGCGATGCCTTCCCGTGGAACACGCCTAACCCTGTTCTGCTAGCCTCGAAATCCTTGCGGCAGACAAGCGGAAGGCACACAGGTAGCAGCACGCGCGGGGCGTAAATTTAGATCTGTAAAATTTACTGACTACTATCAACTGAATTGTAAGTCATTAAAATTATACCTCGTCGCAAAAACTGAAACACCCTTTAAACACAATTTTCTAAGTGAAACCTAACATTTTCAAAAGAAAAAAAAAGAAAAAAAAAGAAACATCCTGAAGGTATTAGTGCTGCAAATATAATTAATCATGCTCGGTTGCGGAAAGGTCAAATCCCCCACCCCAATTTTTTTCAAATTCCTGGGTAGCACCTGCTGCAAAAAGATTTGATCGATATGATAAAAGTGTTACCATGCAATAAATATAGTTTCAAAAATTTAACAGAAAAATGTTTACGACTTTCTGAAAATCCTATTACTTTTATTTGCTGGGTGAGTTTTAACGAGCGGTGCACAAACTGAAATTGTACAGTGCTTATTGTACGTACCATGCTTCATTCCTAATATGTACAGTCAACACGCCTTGACTCAAAAAATTACTGCGTTATTGTTATTACAATTATATTCGGGCATGACATTTCAATGCAAATTAGTCAGTTGATATTCGAGTTACTTTTTCAATGTAATGTAAATATTCTAAACGCCGATCCGCGTTCATGCAGGGCTTTGGAAACGGACCACTTTTTTTTTTAAGCGAGACGTATATTTTTATATTAATTTTTGTCTGTTCTTCTGCTTCCCCCATTGTGAGAAAGTCATCGGGAAACTCTGGACATTTAATAAAACTTGCCTTTCTCTTGTGATCGATGACTGCCCTCATCGAACGGTCAAATCAAAGCGCTCCTCCCACTCTCACTTACTTCTGCCAGACGTCTCTGATAAGTGAAAAGTTGCCCGGCTCTGTGGAGTGGTCCGTCCCCGCGCCCGTCTACCTGCCAGCATGCGGCCCCCCGCTCACCTGCGTCCAGGATCAGGTCGTCCACGTGGTCGTTCTCCGCCTCGTCACGATGGTACTCCTCGGCACTGCCCTGAGCCGCGGCCCCGGACACCTCTCCGTCTGCGAGGGGTGCCTTGGGGTCGGCGACGATCAGCGCCGAGAGCACCTTGTCGCGAACCTCCTTCTGCTCCGACTGCAAATTACCGAGAGCGCTGCCTTTGGTGGCGGAGCGGCAGCCGAACCACCAGTAGCCCGCCGGCCGGGGGAAGGGTGGGTTGGCGACGTCGACCTGTGAACACGAAGCAGGTGATAAGGTGATTGTGACTACTAACTCAGCAGACACTGGGAATGATGTGCTTAGGGTAAGGTCGTGAGCGAGGATTACGTCATTTTTAGAGCTTAAGCACTGTGTTCATGGCTCTCCATTTGAACTCAGGGTTGATTGCAACGACACTGGAAAAACAAACGTTACCATGGTAACGTTTCATAATGTGACCAAGCCCGGTAACGTTTCCTGATGCAACCTACCCCATGCAAAAGGATAGGGCCATCACAAACTGGTTGCATCACCAAACGTTACCTGGTTTGGTCGCGTCAAGAAACGTTACCTCGGTAACGTTTGTTTTTCCAGTGGAGAGACGCTGGGAAGGCCATGATAAGTGTCCCCGTAGGTTGGGTGACATTTTTCTGCAGGACTATCGTTCCCAGCACTTCGATAACCAGCCCGTAGATCGATCGGAGGCCCGAGAAAAAAGTGACCGACCCCCTAAAATGACGTGAGTTGTGCACGCCCTCTTAACAGTCCTAGATGCCCGGCGCTGGGGCGCGGCGCAGACTCACGGCGAACGCTCGGTCGTTGAAGCGGTAGTACTGGCCGCCCTTGAAGAAGTACGTGAAGCCGTTGGTGTACTGCAGCGCGGCGTCCAGGTCGTTGGGCAGCCCCTCCCAGTTGGCTATGGGCTTGGGGTACGTGTTCTTGACAGGGGGCCGTGACGAGGGGTCGAACCGCCAGAACTTGTCGCCTGCGAAAACAAAGTGACTGGGTGCAACAGCGGAGCGTGGCGTGGCGTGGCGTGGCGTGGGGGGCGATGCCGCCCCAAGCCAGGCCAGGCCCGCCCAGTGGGGGACAGCGGTTGTCGATTTTATTGGTGTCGATATCGGAGGCAGCCGAGCGTTGACAGGAATGAACAGCGTCGCCGTCATAAGCGTCTGCCCGCTGTCACGCTGCTCGTCCGTCTGGGTCACCAAAACGCCAAACAATTGTTTGGTCGAGAAATTGACATGGGCAAGCGCTTACGTTTGAAAAAGTAAATCTTGCCGTTGCCGCTCCAGACGAAGGCTGCGTCCAGGTTGTCTGGGATCCCGGTGAAGCCCTCGGAGATCGGCTTGGGGTAGTTGCCGTCCATTTTCCTCCCTGTGTATCTCCAGTACTGCGATCCCTTGAAGAAGTACGTCTTGCCGTTCTTGTAGGTGAAGGCGGCGTCGATGTCGCCGGGCAGCCCGGGCCAGCTTTTGGAGATGCGCTGCGGGTAGCCCGGCGCGATGCTCTCCTCCGTCAGCTTCCAGAAGTGCTGGCCTGCATCAGAGAGAGAGATCGAGTCTGAATCGTCTGCTCCCGCTCGTCTGCCAGTTGTCAGCAACTTGTTTCAGCGGTGATTGTTTCCGGTTCGGAGGTAATTCTTTTACGCCCGGTTACTTCCGGTGATGTATCCGGATGTCCAGGCTAAGATATGACAGTACGTTGGGTTGCCTATGCACTGGTTACAGGGGCTGCAGAGGGTAGGCGGGTGGTAGGGGAATGGCCGCTCCCTCACCACTCCCCTGCCAGCGCCCCGCCCCGCGCCTGGAGCCAGGGTATAGGCGACCCAACCAACCTACTGTGATGTCTTGGCCTGGACACCCGGTACACACTACTATTATATTTAGACAGCAGATGATTTGGCTCCCTCCCGCATGACTCACCCTTAAAAGCGAAGGTCGAGCCGTCCGCTGAGTTGAAGATGGTGTCGACAGAGGCGCTGGTGCAGAGCTCGGCGTCCTCCTCCGTGGGCGCCTCGGTGGTGCTGTGCCGGTTGGACGTTCCAGCGCTATCGCTATCGCTGTCCGTGTTCCTCGATTTGCGGCCGTAGAGTGCCTGGCGGATGAATTCGACGATTGAGTACGAGAAAATTATCCACTCACATGGGACGATCACAAGAAAAACTGAAGGCTTGACCAGTGTAAAAACATTTTCGATACTACACTAGTTGCAAACAAAGTTGCATTCGGTCTGTATGTGCACGAAAACGTCGCCTGTTTACGAACAAAAGTGTCCTTTTACATTTAGAGTGAAGCGCTTTTAAAATGTCCCATCTCCAAAGCAATGGCAATAATCATCGTCGAACAAAAAGCAGTGTACCAAATTGATCACCTTACAAGTGTACTACTACGGAGTTTAACACTTGTAAGCATTCAACTTGCTGTTCATGCACACTAACAAGTGTGATTAACAGTTGAACGCTTGGTTCAGCAGTGGTGGCTTACGAGACTATCGGGAGACATGCAGGTTACTGCGTTGGGCTGGGGAGAGATAGCCGCGGGGAGAGAGGTGAGGTCACCCCGTGCAACGCAGATGACTAAAGACAAACACGATTGCATGATCTCCTCACGATATCGGAATGAGTTACCACCTGATTCGACACTTCACGATGCAGCCAGCGCAGCCAGCTGAGAGCTCCGCAGTGCCATCGTGATGTCAGCCTGCATGCTGGTTGCTGGTGATCGTTTCGTTCCGCCCATGCCGCCGCCCCACCGCGTACCGGCCACCCGGCCAGCACCTCAGCGGAACCGGAACCGGCTTTGCTGGCTACTCTGTCCGTCCATCGGTCCGGCCGTCTTTCTATCCATCCGTCTGTCTGTCTGTCTGTCTGTCTGTCTGTCTGTCTGTCTTGAGCCTCCTTGCCCCCTTCTGATTGGAGCGAGAGGGAGAGAAGGGGAGGAAGACTGACGCACAGCGGAAGGAGCAACTTCCGATTAGCCATTCCGCAAACGGATTATCTTTAAGCCCCGCCCGCTCATTTCCACTCATTTCCCGTCCCCCCCTTGCGGGTGTCGGTAGCCCCGGTGTCACCTGGATTCCTTCGATGTCGTCCTCGTCCAGCGACAGGCTGGGGTCGTAGCCGCGGTAGAAGGGCGCCATGAGGGCGGCGCGCACGTCCGAGTGGGACAGCCCGAGCGAGTGGCCGAACTCGTGCGCCGCCACCTGCTTGAGGTTGGTGCCTGCAGTCACAAGGGCAACGGTTATTGACCGAAGAGGAAAGCGCTGGTGCACAAATTATCAGTTTTAGAGGGAGGGCTACTTTTTTATCATGGCTCCTACAATGGAACTTACGCCATACGGTTATTGACAATATAAGCTTTTTCCGGAACCTATGATGAACTGATGAAGTAGCAGTCCTGCCAGACAAAATGTTACTTCTTATGGGGATACATTTATCTTGACCTGCCGAACACTTCTGTTCACATGCAGGAGTGCAGCTGCCATGACAAAAGGCACCACTCTACCTAAAAATGACGTAATTTGCGCACAAACAAGGCAGTTCGTGTTGTTGTTGTTGACTGCGACGATCAGCGCGTTTCCACTGGTAAGTGCAGGCGAGACACGAGCGGCCGGACTTACCGCTGAACGAGTTGATGGTCCAGCGCTCCGAGTCGTCAAAGTGCGCGTCGCCGCCGTAGACGGGGAAGTAGGCGTGCGCCAGGGTGCCGCCGGGCCCGTCGAAGGGATCGCCGTCGCCGTGCTCGCCCCGCTCGAAGCGGATCTCGATGTGCACCGAGCCGCTCTGCTTGGGCGTGAAGGTGAGGTCCGTGTAGTCGGACCACAGCGAGAAGGCCTGACGGATCTCCTCGTCCACGTCCCGCTTTCGCAGGCGGGACGGGTACTTGGAGATTTTGTACGTCAGGTTCTTGACGCGCCAGCGGCTGCCTGCGGATCATGCGGACATCGGACACAGCATTGAGACACAGATAACAAAAGAAACCACAATACATGAATGGGATTTTCGCGCCACTTATTTAAAATCCTACTAATTGTTTGTGTGGTGCTGTATTTCTGGACTCAGTACAGGGTTTGGCTCGACAAGCAGACGCGTGTTGGAGTGCTATAGATTTGGAACCAAACTCAGCCGATCAGCCTTTAGCCACCAGCAGTGGAAGCCGCATCGGTTCAAAATAGTAGCGGGTAAGTCCTGCCTTCGAATGGGGCACGCCAAATTTGACTAAGTATGCCAACTAGACGCATTTCAGCGCAACGCAGTTTAGTTTTGAACAGTTTCCGAACGCCTCAGCCAAGTGGGTGGCAATAGATAAGGGATTATTAGCGACATGGCGAATATTTCTCGCCCCGCCACTTTTGGCTGTCGGCGGCGAAACGGCGAAACGAGCTGCTGCATCTGCGGGCCGGGCGCCGGGTCCACCCTGGCCCTGGCTCCGAGGTGGGTAGTGGGTGGTGGAGGGGGGAGGGGGGACCAGCCGCGGTCGCCATCCATATCCGTCCAGGAGCCAAGCCTGACAGCCCGGGCCTGCGCGACGAGCGCGGCGGCGGGCGCGTCCGGCGGCAGCACCGGCCCGGAGCCCGCGGCCCGCAGCATGGGCTGGGCCGGGCCGGGCCGAGGCTGGGCGACAAAGGAGACTTAAGTTTGTTTACGACGGTCTGGTCTGGCGTGGCCCGGCGGCGGGGTGGAGCGGCGCGAAGGCGATCCCGCCAGCGGGGCTCGGCGGGGGGCCCCTGACCTGCCGGGGATAGGCAGGCCCGCCTCGCGCCCGCGCAGCCACCGCAGGGGGTTGCCTATGGAGACGCAGCCTCGTCCGCTCTGGTAGGCCACGCGGGGCTGGGCAAAGATTTTAAGTAGGGATGCACGTTTTGGGGTAGAGGCATGCGGCAACTGGCTCGCTAAAGGAACTCGTTCACACTGCACTACACCTAACCCGGCGGCCCTCGGGGCCTCCCTTTAGTGGGTAGTATGGGAAATACTTTTGCTAAGACTTTTCACACGCACTCGAGCGCTGAAGTTGGGCGCGAGAGCAACGACACCCGGTATACGTCATACTCACAGGCGTTCGTAGTCTGTATGACACTCGAAATAAT